TTGGGGTATCCCGGGACACCCATTAAATTTTGGAAAAACGATTATCCAACCTCTGGTGGTAATGTAGGTATGGACAAAAAGATTATAATTGATAGTGAGGAACACCCCTGAAATTTGAAAATGATTATCCTACTCTCATTTTCTTAATTTATATATGAAATATAAGTGATAGGTTGGGTAATTAAAATCTAGAACACTACTATTATTAATAAACATAATTTCTATTAAGCTACAACTCATTTGTTGTTTGATTTTAAACGCTGAGTAACAGTAAAATGTCGGTTCCTATCTTTAACTATTTTCAAAACCTAACTACTAAACTAATTTCAACCTAACCTTAATTTGTATTGATTTTTTATAGTTGTACGACAAGTGTTGAAAGAGTCTTTTCAGTTTTGGGTAACTTCAAGAACAAATTTAGAAATCGAATATGCGATCAGTTCGAGAATAATTGTCTAGTAGGATATACAAAGACAATTGCGTTGAGCAGTGTAAACACCAAGTGTATTATATAATTATTTTCGAATATGAAAACACATCGTGGACTTTTTCTAACTTGTACGAGTAATGTATTTTCTTATTTAAAATTATTAATTATTTAATTTATTTTTCGTTAAATGAGGACAATTGCTATGTAAAATTTCTGGATCCATCACTCAAATTAATGAGATGGAGTAATTTGGCTGACACATTTTTTGGGGGGAAGGGAATCCTTACTTACTAGGAGGACGAGTACCAGCAAAGGCAAGGCAGAGCCCAAGTTGAGGGAAAATGTAGATGTGGGTGGTAGGCAGGCAGGGAGTTGAGTTGGTTGTGGGTGGGAGGGAATGCCATGTGGAAAGGCCAGCACAGCAGTGTCGACTTGGCTGCCTCTCCTCGTCCCACATCTCCTTCCCGCTCTAACGTGTCACTCTACCGTACCAGCAAACTGGACTTTGCTGCCGCTGCTTTATAATATTCATTCACGCACGCTTCCTCACCTAGACACACTAACACCGCTCCAAATCCAATCCAGTACCCGGATCCAAAATTCACCGCAACCCACCACCTCACACCT